TAGCTCAGAGACAGAGCCCTGAGACAGGCCTAGGACTGCCTCGCCAAACAGCTTCTGTCCCAGATTGTGAAACTGTAGTACATCCTTAACCCTTGAGGTCAAGGACAGCGTGTCAATTTCAGAGGTCATAGCAATGACCTCTAGCATTGAAGATGGGTATGCAAAAGTGCCCCACATTCTCTGCAGTGCTGCAGGGTCTGCCGTACCCATGGTAGTACTGAGGAAGTGTTCAGGCAGAGGCAATCCTGAAGGACCTATCCCATGAGGAAGAGATGGTGGTATGTGGGTTGGGGGCCCAAGTCGGTTCCCTAAAGATGTGGGGGTTGTTGGTGATGGAAGTATAGGGGAATGGGGCAAGGACAGAGGGTGAGGTGGCGGTGGTGGTGGTGGTGGTGGCAGCGATGGGCGTGAATGGCGTGATGCTAAAAACACTGAGGGTGATAACAGTGACGGAGATGGTGAGGAGGGGGAGATGGTGGAGCAAGAAGTGGGAAGGGTTGAGTGGAGTGATAGTGGAGGTGGGTGGGATATCAGGAGTGGAGGAGGTGGTGGAGGTGGCAGAGGTGCTTGGTGCTGCTGTGAGGGCACAGAACTGCCCTGACTACGAGAGTGAGCAGGCAGGTCGCAGGGGGACTCTAAGAGATGAAAATAAATAAACAAAAGTAGAAACAAAAGAGGGAAAGGATGAAAATAATTAGGTAAAAAATTAAAATAAGTAAGAAAAATAATTTTTTATTTTAAAAATGAAGAAAGACAGTGCTGGACACTTGTTCTTCAAATTTAACTGGCTAAAATAATGTTTGGTGTATCTATGTTTTGATCTCACTATATATTTTAAAATATCTCACTTGTGTCTGCGTCTTGTCGGTCAACTGAACTGTTAAGGACGATAAGTCATTCTTATAACATTTAAACCATGTGATTTTGAATTTTATTTTAAAAAAAACAACTAACATCAAATTGATCAGTTTTCCCTACTTCATCGGCATTTTACAACTGTTGATTGGTCATAAATGTATACAAGCAAATGAAGGATGCCTATGCTCACAGTTCCTAAAGCACACAGGTTGTGTGTCCTTACATGTTGGCAGAAAACAGAGAGGCTACTAAACAGTTATTGAGTTTGTTTTTTCCTTGGAAATCATGAAAATTGTCACCACAAAACTGAGCCCGCAGTTTACTGTTGTGATTTGTTGACCTAAAATCATAATTTGTGACTATTTTGTTGCCGATGTGCCATTCTTAGCTATCATGGTTGTCCATCTCGGGCTCAAATCAGGTCTGTGTCCTTGTTCCATTGATGCCATGTGGCCAACCCATCCATATATTTATCTCTCCACCTTCCCCTGGATCTTCGCCCACCTGTTTGACAGTTTTCAGTAACTGTTAAGTTGATTATTCCTACAATCTCCAAAAATCCTCAATGTCTGTATCTAACTTCTCTATATTTGCTGTTTTTCTATTTAATGTGGATATTTTAAAGCTGTGACCCCTGAAATTTGGTTTTTCACTCAGTTCAGTTTTATGAAAGGATCTAAAACATGAAACAAGAGAAGAAAATGTGTCCTAAAATAAAAAGAAATGTATCTTCAAATAATCTTTCAGCCTGATTGTATTTCACGGGAACTGAATTCTATAAGATTCAGTAAGAGAAGTTAAATATATATAATTGTGATTCTGAAATGTATAAGTGAATTCTACATTTTCAGTTGATGCATTAACTGGTAAAAACAGTGTGCTGTAGAACCATACAACTTCTAAAATAGTTGAAAAACCAGTCAACTATGATGTTTTCTTTGTTTTCCCCTCCAGTTCTCACAGGAAAATTGTAATAGTGTACACTGATCAATGTACTCCACACACTGACAGATGAGTACGCTACTTGTTCCCTAAACCACATGTGATTTGAAATGTTTACAGTCAGTGCAGAAATACATGTACGTGTTTCTTTATTCTCAGTGTTTCAAGCTGAATAAATGATACGTGCACATGAACGTATACCATCAGGACAATGCTGACGAGACTGCTCTACTGTGTCACTCATGAAATCAGGTGCAAAATAAATAAAACAATCTTGATCAAACGCCACAAAAATATAGGTCTATAGGTGATAGACAAAGATAATGAGAAAAGATGAGCTCAGTCATAAAACAGTCATATCCTGTGAAGCCTCACTTAAAGAGCTGGAATCATATGTCTGTTAAGGCAGCAATAATTTTTTTGGTTAAAGCGGAGGACTGATAGAGATAAACAAAGTAATAATAAAAAGAAAACAACAGATTTGTCAGCACTAGGAAAGCAAAATAGATTAAATCTCTCATGAAAGAGAATAAAACTTAAGAACACTGGACTCTCACGTCTGACAGCTAGGCTAGAATCCTCAGTTAATGTTACGGAGGTTTCTTTTTTTTCAAATTGTAAAAATAAAATCCTAACTGGCACAGTCTGTGGCGACTGCACTAGCTATGCAACCCTAAACCCTCAGGCTCAAAGATCTCCCTGCCTACACAACAAAATGAAAAATACAGATAGTGATACCACCATTTTTGTGTATGACTAAACAGAATATTTAATTCTAATGTAAATCAGTACTGCTATAAAAAGTGCATAGATAATGATGACAAACTGGCACCACAGCAAAACATACTGAGTTAAATCGTATGACTGAATAACCAATGCAGAACTTAATGACAGCCTAGTGTGAGGTATGTCTATAGTGTATGCTTGTCTCAATCCTCAGTAACTGTCTCCCAGCCTAGTGTGAGGTATGTCTATAGTGTATGCTTGTCTCAATCCTCAGTAACTGTCTCCCAGCCTAGTGTGAGGTATGTCTATAGTGTATGCTTGTGTCTCAATTCTCAGTAACTGTCTCCCAGCCTAGTGTGAGGTATGTCTATAGTGTATGCTTGTGTCTCACTCCTCAGTAATTGTCTCCCAGCCTAGTGTGAGGTATGTCTATAGTGTATGCTTGTCTCACTCCTCAGTAACTGTCTCCCAGCCTAGTGTGAGGTATTTCTATAGTGTATGCTTGTCTCAATCCTCAGTAACTGTCTCCCAGCCTAGTGTGAGGTATGTCTATAGTGTATGCTTGTCTCAATCCTCAGTAACTGTCTCCCAACCTAGTGTGAGGTATGTCTATAGTGTATGCTTGTGTCTCACTCCTCAGTAACTGTCTCCCAGCCTAGTGTGAGGTATGTCTATAGTGTATGCTTGTGTCTCACTCCTCAGTAACTGTCTCCCAGCCTAGTGTGAGGTATGTCTATAGTGTATGCTTGTGTCTCACTCCTCAGTAACTGTCTCCCAACCTAGTGTGAGGTATGTCTATAGTGTATGCTTGTGTCTCACTCCTCAGTAACTGTCTCCCAGCCTAGTGTGAGGTATGTCTATAGTGTATGCTTGTCTCAATCCTCAGTAACTGTCTCCCAGCCTGGCGTGAGGTATGTCTATAGTGTATGCTTGTCTCACTCCTCAGTAACTGTCTCCCAGCCTAGTGTGAGGTATGTCTATAGTGTATGCTTGTCTCAATCCTCAGTAACTGTCTCCCAGCCTAGTGTGAGGTATGTCTATAGTGTATGCTTGGCTCAATCCTCAGTAACTGTCTCCCAGCCTAGTGTGAGGTATGTCTATAGTGTATGCTTGGCTCAATCCTCAGTAACTGTCTCCCAGCCTGGTGTGAGGTATGTCTATAGTGTATGCTTGTCTCACTTCTCAGTAACTGTCTCCCAGCCTGGCGTGAGGTATGTCTATAGTGTATGCTTGTGTCTCAATTCTCAGTAACTGTCTCCCAACCTAGTGTGAGGTATGTCTATATTGTATGCTTGTCTCCATCCTCAGTAACTGTCTCCCAGCCTGGCGTGAGGTATGTCTATAGTGTATGCTTGTCTCAATCCTCAGTAACTGTCTTCCAGCCTAGTGTGAGGTGTGTCTATAGTGTATGCTTGTCTCACTCCTCAGTAACTGTCTCCCAGCCTAGTGTGAGGTATGTCTATAGTGTATGCTTGTCTCAATCCTCAGTAACTGTCTTCCAGCCTGGTGTGAGGTATGTCTATAGTGTATGCTTGTGCTTCACCCTCTGGGACTGTTTGAATATCACAATTGCCACTATGACTTCAAGTATCATTACAAGCCATCTACAGCATGTGTGACCTAGAAACCTGACTAAGTATCAATATTGAGAGTTTTCTAAAGCTGCTCTAACCTGTTGTTATTAGCTGTGTCAGTTATTATAAACCTAACTCAAATGCTATAATGCATTATTTCTCAAACCTGAATGTGCAAAACAGAACCAAACATAACAAAAACAAATTGAATAAGCAATCAGTTACAGCTCAGAAACTAAAACATGTTACCAGATGCAAGAGCTCAATCCAAAACTAATAAACTACACATCAATCAGCTAACAAAAACCACTAATCCAAACAAAAATTCATTTCATCTAAACTACAAAAAGTAACAACAGAACAGCAAAACTTCATGGTCACATCTCAATTCTACATCTAGGGAAGTGAAAGTGCAGAACAAATTGGAAATACAACAGACAGACTGAAGAAAGTTCATACCATATTCTTTGAATGGTTTGGATAAATTAAAGCTGTATCATTAGCAAGAAGTTAAGAAAACAAGTAAGAATATAAACAAGCAGGTGAGAAGGCAAATCCTTTCAAACAGCCATCACAAACAGGGGGCACGCAAAACAGTTGCATTGTAAATATATTTACATAACTTCAAAAGGCAGGAATAAATAAGCAGCAAAAATTCACGATAAGAGATTGCAAATCAAAGAATACAGAACTATTCTATATTTAACATTTGACCCAGAACTGGATATGTCTGCCAATTTCTATTTTGAAATAAGAGATGAAGTGACAAGAATAGGAAAATATTTACACAGAATCAAATCAGCAGTAACCAAAGCAAGAAAGAAAAGCTAGGTACAAACTTCTACTCAAATGATACCTGATGATGAAAGGTGCAAGTAAGTGACAATATATGATACCTACCAGGCTCACTTGATCCTCTAGAATTGGACCTCATTAACTTGTCAGGTGGGATACGATACTGAGACGCTACTAACTTTGGGATTGATTCAGCATCTTCCAGAAAAATCTGCATGCGTATAAATGGTTCTCTTCCCTTCTGAGTCAGCATGTGCCAAGGTTTTGGCCTTGCTAGAAGGTCAGAAACCGATCCCTGAGATAACCCAAGAATGCTCTCTCCAAAAAGTCTCTGGCTGATTGAGTACTGAGAGAGAGTTTCCTTGATTTTTTTAACCAGATCATCAGTGTTGACATTTGCATAGCGATCAAATTCCTCTTGAGTTATTGGCGGCAAAATGGCACGCAATGGTTTGTTACTGGGCATGCCTACGTTGGGACGAGTTGTTAGTGAGTTGGCTATGTTCTGCATCCTCTGCAATGGAGACAAGCATTCTGCTGGAGGTACCGATCCATACCGAGGTCCTCCAGTGGATCCTTGCTGCTGCTGCTGGGTGGGAGTCACAGGACTTTCGGAGACTCCGGAATCGTGGCCGTTCATCCGAGGATGCACCAAGAAAAAGGCACTTCCAGCATGTCTGCCAGACTCACTGGTTGGTGAAGAACTTGGGGTGGAGCCTGCATGTGATGATGGTTTGCTCAAGTCAATAGCTCCACAGTTGTTGACATGAGAGGCAGTCTCATCAGATGTGCTATCTGGGGGTTCAGTTTTCAGCTTCAGGCCATATGGACGTGTAGACCTGTAGTCTAGTGCCAGGGGTGATGGTTCAGGACTGTCTGCAGGAGGAGGTGACGACGAAGATGAGTGTCGCAGTTGGGAAGATGAAGAGATGGGCATGCCAGTATTCTGCGAAACATCAAGGCGACCGAGCTCTTGTGCATACATGGCACTAGCTGCCATATTACCAGCTGCATCAGCAGCTTTTTTCAGCTTGATCAGCTCTTGTCGGTAAATTCTGGTGACTATCTCTTGAGCTGAAGCCATGTCTTCTTGGGATGATGAGGATGAATGATATCGAGAGTCCCCCTCTTTCACTTTTCTGGGTCCCTCTCGGGAAAAGTGCGGTCCGTTGGAGAGGGAGACCGGCGGCATCGTGGGAGACATCATGGCTAACCCTGGTGGAGTCCCTCCCAGTTTAGAGAGTTCGTGGTGATACAGACTTGATACTATAGCACCGGCAACCTGTTGCTGCAAAGCAGCCAGTAACAGAGAAAACAGCACGTTAGATAGAGAACAAATTCACTATGCATTGTTATATTTACTTTATATTTTACTTTTTTTTTCTAATAGCAGAGAAAACAGCCATGTTAGATGGAGAACAAATTCACTAAACATTCTTAAATGTACTATATATTTTAAATTTTACTTCTAATAACAGAGAAAACAGCAGATTTGATTGAGAACAAACTCACTACATATTATTATAGCTGCCTTATAGTTTACAATTCATTTCTAATAACAGATAAAATAGTTTACAATTCATTTCTAATAACAGATAAAACAGCACATTTAATAGAGAACAAACTCCCTGCATACAACCACAGTTAACTTACATTTAATAGAGAACAAACTCCCTGCACACAACCACAGTTAACTTACATTTAATAGAGAACAAACTCCCTGCACACAACCACAGTTAACTTACATTTAATAGAGAACAAACTCCCTGCACACAACCAAAGTTAACTTACATTTATGAAACTTAGCTAAAGACGATAGGGAAAACAAGAAATTTGGTAGAGAAGAAAGTAATTACATATTTCAATAGTTACATCAAATTAATATTCCGGTAATAAAGAATACACAATACTGTGACAGTGAAAGCTGCACACTTGGTAAAAACAAAATTTGTAATTAAAACAATGATTGCAATACATAATGAATTCGCATCTAGTCTTTATTTTTTCCAAACTGACCTTAGCTGCCAGGTTGACCCAACCTTTAATTCCTACCAGGTTATTTCCTGGGAATCAAAGGCGACCAGCATGATACTGACCCTGAACCCAGCAAGATCTGATTGGTCTATAAACTTTCAAGTCTAGCATAATATGCTCAATCTGCCACTGATGTAAACACAGTCTTGACTTTATTTTTATTACTTATAATACATTTCTAGAAACAGAGAAAAGCAGAACTGTATAGAACGTAACATAATTATGTAGTCAATATATCTATCTATTGTCTATCGCTGAAAGACGGCCAGAGGCCCACATTAGGTGTGTGAAATGTAGAGGTGATGGGGGAGATGTAAATTTATTTTTTCTTGTTAAATCTCAAGCCAAATGAATTTTCTGTGTTTGTGCTGTGTAACCTGATAGCAACATCATTTATTCATCTGATTTTTTTTCTCAACAGAAAGTTTCTTTGTTTATAAGCAGTCTTAGTTCTGTGTGCTTCAGTCTCAGACCACTTCATTTGTTGCTTCTCTGCTCAGTTTAATGCAGGGCAAAGTACCCATGTCATTTCTAATGTCACCATTTCCATTTGTCTTATAGGGGCAGTAGTAGCCATGACATGTTTAATGTCACCATTTCTAATTCTTTTCCTTTCAGGGAGTGATACAGGCAAGTCAACAGCTGTTCTCAAGCATTTTACCAGTTTCCTCTCTTGTGTTTTAGACATCTTCATCAAGCTTGGCATCTGTGTGTTCACTAGAAACTCCAATAGTTGAATTATATTACCAGCGTAATTAAAAAATCCATGTTTTTTAACTGCAATAGTTGAATTATATTACCAGCGTAATTAAAAAATCAACAAAAAAACATGGATTTTTTAATTACGCTGGTAATATAATTCAACTATTGCAGTTTCTAGTGAACACACAGATGCCAAGCTTGATGAAGATGTCTAAAACACAAGAGAGGAAACTGGTGAAATGCTTGAGAACAGCTGTTGACTTGCCTGTATCACTCCCTGAAAGGAAAAGAATTAGAAATAGTGACATTGATTTCACCGGAAAAACACAGAGAACTGTTTAGACACCAAACAGAAATTAAGATTAAGTTAAGAAGCATACTTTACACTGGTTGGACTAGAGACAAGAACAGATAATTTATGCCAGTAACAAAACAAGAGTTATTCTCTCATGAATACCTGTTCTAGGTTCTTCTTCATGTGCATGGCGACCTGAGCCTCACTGAGAATGTTAGCAATACGCTCTTCTGTTGCAGAGTCCTCTTTCTCTTTGTACGAATTATTGGAGATAATAGGCTGTGTGCCTGGTAGAGGAAAAAAACATAGTGTCAATTTCTCCCGCTTCAATCAGACATTTCTAAACCAACAGCTGTGGTGTCATAGCGGAGAATGGTCTGTCCAGAAGTACTGGTTTTTTTTCCTGACCATTACAGTAATGGAGTTGGACTTAAGACTCATAAAACAGACACTGAGACTATTTCCAGAACTTTCTGAGTCTGAAGGAGAGTTGATGAGGAAGGGAACTGGCCACCCTGGTATCACATGTTGTGGCCTAGAAAATCTAGAGGTCTATACCTAGCTAAGTTTTTGTGGGATATATCTCTGACTGCCTGCTGAAGATTTGTGCAAATGGTGCACTCTTACTGTTAGAAGTACTGCCCCACTTGTTTATAACTAGACACTAAAGATTTTTCCTGCTTTAAAGAAAAACAAAGTGTTAGACTTGAAAACTGTTTGTATGCCAAAATTGTGGCACATTGAACACTGAACCAATGGGCTCACCTGTTCTCTATAAATTATATTTAATATTGAACCAATGGGCTTGCACAAAGAAAGAAATGATGACACGCATTGGCAAGGCATCAGTAGCTTTTAAAGTCTTGAACTAAATATGGAACTCTAAACTGTAGAGTTCAGAAACCAAGGGACATATTTTCTATGCTAATGTTATTTAAGTTTTAACATTTGCCAGTGAAAGTTGGATAACCCCTAAAGACATGAAAAAAAAAATTTAAATGCATTTGAAAACAATTATCTGAAGGGTATTTTTAACATAAAATTCAAGAAGGGTGAAGAAGTAAGAGAAATGTCCTGGCAACTATTGTTAACAACAGTTATAAGACAAATATGGCACTATACTGGACACATCCTGAGAAGAATGAGTAGAGAATCAACAAACAGGCATTCAAATGGGAAGTTAGGAAGAGAGGACATCCAACAAGAAACCCTCAAATCAATGCTGATGAGAGAAGCCAAGTGTGCTGGACTGGACTCCATCCACTACACTGAACGATATAACATAATAGAGGAACACACAGTGAACCCTGTTTCACACAATGGCACAACAGGACAATGATAACCATGAATGGGTGAGCTTCTGTTATGTGAAGAACAAGTATGAACTGTTGAAGCATCTGAAGCACTGAAAAATAAACAACAAAGCAAACATTCTCTCTCACCTTTTTTTGGTGATATGGCTTTCAGTGCCATAATGTTGGCATCATCAATGGCCCAGGCATGCATCTTACGGTAGGACTCCCTGCCCTTCTCCGTGAGTTTATCCCAAGACTTTGGCTTGGACAATAGTTCACTGACCGTTCCTTGACTCAAGCCAAGTACATGTTTTGCAAAAAGCCGCTGCCCTATATTGTGAATGCTGAGAAGTTCTCTAACAGTTTTGGCCACATAGCCAGTGTCTAGACCCCCTGAAGAGTTCATTTCAGATTTCACCATGTTCAAAGGCAAAAAGGCGGGGTGAAATGGGTTGGCTGGAAATCCATAAAAAGGAGGAGCAAAATGCCGCTCCATATGTGGGTGTAAGGCAGTGATGGGCGACTGTGGTGGTTGGCTGTTGGTGTGTGGTGTTTGTGAAGGAGTTGGGATATCTGGTGAGAGCTTGCAATTGGCTGTAGGCGAATAACGTCCAGATGAGGGGGTACTAGGCATCCGCAGAAAATTCACTGTCAAATCTGAAACTGCCAAGCTGGAATAGCTGTCACTGGTGTAGGCAACCGAATGAGGAGTGGCGCGTGTGGTGGACACAGGTGAGGATGCTTCCTGCTTGATGAGACTTGTTGCTACAGCAAGTGTCGGAGACAAACTCATAACCTTAGGCACAGCTGATGAGGATGTTGTGGTCACGTCAGTGCTGGAGCTTCTAGCTGAAGACACGGATGAGCATCGAGTAAAGACTGGCGTCGTTGTTGCTGCGGACATCAATGCTGTTGATGTGGGTGAAAAAAATGGCACTGGTGAGGCTGATGAAGGTGTGCGTGTAGGGGATGTTTCCACCTTTTTGGCACTGTTGGCTGAGTTCTGGCAAGTAGCTGAGCTACCATTGTTGTTGTTATCTAAAAAAAAAAAAAAAACTGAGTGGGTTAATAACAACAGAGTGAGGTTATCTGACATTATGATACAGGGAGTTATCTGAAATAATGACACAGTGAGCTATGTGATGTAACCAAACAGTCAGCTTATCTGATATAATAATAACACAGTGACTTTTATGTTGTAGTTACACCATATGATACAGTGAGTTATCTGAAATAATGACACAGTGAGCTGTCAGATATGACACAGTGAGCTGTCAGATTTGATGACGCAGTGAGTTATATGATATGAAACACTGAGTGTAAATAATGACACTGTGAGTTACCTGATATGACTCAGTGAGTCATCCAGTATATTGACACTGTGAGTTAACTGAAATAATGACACAGTGAGTTACCTGAATTGTGACTGGTACTAAAAACATAAACAGCCTATGTCATGCTGATGGCACCGTCTTGACAGCGACAAGTCAGAAAGAGCTACAGAGATCGGCAGACACAGTGCTGGTAGAAAGTAATAAAATAGGCCTCAGCTTGAATACTGGGAAGACAGAAGTAATGGTAATATTTAAAAAGAAGAACATTTTATGCAAAAGAAGAACGTTGTATGCAAGAAGTCCAAGTTATTGGAGGTAGGAAGAGAATTCCTGCATGCTCTCATGCTATATACATTTAGTTGTAATATATGGCCATCCTAGACAATTAACAAACACATTGAACAATTTATTGAGGCCTCAGAGATCGGGTTTTACAGAAGAGTCCTTAGAATTTCTTGGACAGCCCAAAATTTCTTTTACAAAAGAGCAACCCAGATGTTTTGAAAGAGGTGAGGGCTTGAAGTCAACTAGTCACAAACATCAAAAAGAGACAGTCATCATTTTTTGGTTATATTATGAGAAGAGGGAAACTGAAATATGTTGTGACCACCGGAAAGGTCTGTGGGAAGAGAGACCGAGGTAGACAATCTGAGAAGATTCTTAACCGCCTTTTATCGTGGCATGGAGAGATGTAAGAAAATTAACTGATACGCACAGCTGCAGATCGCAGATTGTGGACAGGCAAGAACATCCACACCAGTCAAAAAGCCACTTGATGATGACGTTGTTACCTGATTTAATTACACAGTGACTTTTTGGAAAAAATGATACAGTGAATCAACTAATATAATGACACAATGATTGATCTTTTTTAATGACACAATTAGTTATCTAATATATTGATACAGTGAGTTATCTAATATAATAACACAGTGAGTTATCTAATATAATAACACAGTGAGTTATCTAATATAATGACACAGTGAGTTATCTAATATAATGACATAGTTAGTTATCTAATATATTGACACAATGATGTATCTAATATAATAACACAGTGAGTTATCTAATATAATGACACAATGATGTATCTAATTTAATAACACAGTGAGCTATCTAATATAATGACACAGTGGGTTATCTAATATAATGACACAGTGAGTTTTCTAATATAATGACACAGTGAGTTATCTAATATAATAACACAGTGAGTTATCTAATATAATGACACAGTGGGTTATCTAATATAATGACACAGTGAGTTATCTAATATAATGACATGATTAATCTAATATAATGACACAATGAGTTATCTAATATAATGAAACAATTGGTTATCTAATATAATGACACAGTGAGTTATCTAATATAATGACACAGTGAGTTATCTAATATAATGAATGACGCAGTAAGTCAATTAAAATAATGACACAGTAAGTTATTGGAAATAATGACACAATGAGCTATCTTATATAATGACACAATAAGTTATCTAATATAATGATAAAGTGAGTTACCAGAAATAATGACTCAGTAAGCTGTCTGATATGACTCAATAAGTTATCTAATATAATGACACAATGAGTTATCTAATGTAATGACACACTGAGCTATCTAATATAATGACACAGTGATTATCTAATGACATTGTGAGATATGTAAAATAATGACACTGTGACTTTTCTGAAATGACACAGTGAGTTATGTGGAAAAAAAATGACACAGTGAGATATGTGAAATAATGACACAGTGACATATGTGAAATAATAATACAGTGAGATATGTGACATAATGACACAGTGAGCTATGTGAATATGAGTTATCCAATTTAAGACTGGAGTGAGCTATCTGATAAAGCAAATATTTAGGCCACATTAAACAACATGAAAATCCTATAGAACCCATACCTGAGAAGAAAAACAATCAATGGTAAGTTAGCAAGTTTTTAAAAATACAAACAGCAGAACAAACAACAATTTCAGAGTGTACCAGCTTGAGCAAAAGATAGAAAGTGTGCGATATTCATGCAGCTATTACTTAATCATAGAGACAGCACTTGACTAACTAGCTAAGTGACTGATTTGTCATGGCTAAAACAACCTAGTAACTGACAAGGAGATGCTCAAACTGTCAGAGAAACATGTCCTAGTTTTGCTACCAGTACTAAATCTGAAGCTTACATGACAAGCAAGAGCTGATCAGTTTCAGATGAGCCCTGTCTGTGGTGAGTAACTTGGGTTTCTCCAGCAGCAGAACCTCCAGGGATTTCCTGTCACCACAAGGACTTTCCTCGTAAGCATCAGCAAACTCTGTTGACCTGAGCAACCTGGACACATGGATGACAAGGTTAGATCATTATTTCAAGGAAATGAATAATAACATTGATAAATCATTGTCATTTTTTGTATGTGTTTGTTTTTGTTTTGTTAGTATTGTTTTTGTTACATGGTATAAAGTGTCTTTGGTACAGCATTAGCAAGCAACTGAAAGTGAATATCCTGAAAACATGTACCTTTCCTGTGAAATTTGCAGATCTGAGTCTTGGACCATTCTGCACTCATTAAGGAAGAGAAATGAAGCTTTCAACTGAAATGTTGCGAAAGACTCTTAGAGGAGCAGCAGAAGTAGAACAAGAAGAAGAAGAAAAAGAAAAAGAAGAAGAAGAAGAAGAAGGAGGAGGAGGAGGAGGAGGAAAAGAAGAAAAATAAATAATCTCTTTTGATGTTTCAAATGACTTAATCTCACCTCAGTTCTCTTTTGACATCCTCATAATTATCTTGGGTTCTCAACTTCTCCTCCAGAACATGGAATGCCTGGTTCTTAGCATGTAACTCTGCTTCCAACCTAGCAACCTGCAGATTGACAAGTAGAAACCTCATAACATTAGCAGCAACAAGCAACAGGAGAACAACAAATGAAGGCGACAGTCATTAGTTTTCTCTTTTTGCTTTCCCTGCTACTGCTCCAGGTGTCAAGGGAGATAAAAGGTTCTGCTTCCTGCTTTTGTAGCATCTGACTAAACATTTTGTGCTGCTGTAGAATTTCTCTGATGTTATCTTTTCCATGTGTTCTTGGTCTGTCCTGGGCTCTACAGGCCTTTCTCTTGGAGAATGTTTGCATGATATTGCCAGGCATGTGCTCTCTAAGAAGACAAACTGTTCTATCTCTGTATGTATTTTAAATGTGGTTCTGTGATTGCTTTTCTCTAATGGCTTTATTCCTGATTGAATCTGCAGCCTTTCTCTGACTACTGATTTCCATGGTTATTGATATAGTCACTGGTTTGTTGCACTGTAAAAGACTTCTTTCAAGGAACACAATTATCTTCATCAATGCCAAGTTATCTCCTAGGGATCATATAATAAAACTCAATGCAGTGCTGAATTCTAAAGACCTCTTAACTTCTGAGAAACATGACTAATAGCGATGAGATGGAGTCACCAATGGGAAAGTGGAACATCTTGATAATGATGTTAGAGTCACTTCTGATAACATCATAAATCTTGGTGAAGATGTTGGAGTCACTTTTTGGACTATGATAAATCTTGGTCGTTCTGCTGGAGTCACTTTTGGGAATATGGTAAACACTGGTGATGATGCTGCAGTCACTTTTGGGAATATGGTGTATCTTTGTGACGATGCTTGGGTCACTTTTGGGACTATGGTAAATCTTTGTAATGAGGTTGGAGTTACTTCTGGGAATAAAGTAAATCTTAATGATGATGTATCTATATATAAGGAAAAGCAATACAAAACTAACACAGAAAAGCCGCACAAAAAGAACACATTTTATGAAACACCAAAGCGCAAACCTGAGCCAACGCAGTCTCCCTGAGTTTACTGAGCCTCTGTACATCTTCAATCAGCCTGGCAACCTGCAGACAAACAGAACCAAGCATCAACACTAGTTACTGTTGTTGTATAGACAAGCTGTGTGTTCATATTTCCAGGCCAGGGTAATCCAAATGACACACACATATACACAAAACTGTCATAAGGGTGTGAAGTGACAGGGCCTTAGAATCAGAGGCGATTAACTATTTTGTTTGCAACCTTTTCTTTCCATAAAATGTTTGTTAGAAACAGTCTCTAGACCAAACAAATGTACTCCCTAAAACAAGACAAATTTATTCTTCAGGCAGGACAAATGTACTCAAAAGACCAGACAAATATATTCTTTAGACAGGACAAATATTCTCACTAGACCTGACAAATGTATATGTATATATCTTTAGACAAGACAAATATGTCTTAGACAAGACAAATGTAGTTCTTGGACCAGATATATGTATTCTTTAGACAAGACAAATATTCCCTAGACCAAACAAATATTCCTTAGACAAGAAAACATGTAGTTATTGGACCAGACATATGTATTCTCTAGACAAGACATATGTATTCTATAGACAAGACAAATATTTCTTAGACCAAACAAATATTCCTTAGACAAGAAAACATGTAGTTCTTGGACAGGACATATGTATTCTCAAGACAACAACTGACAAGCTCAAACACTTTCTGCACATGGATGTATTTAGAGGAAAAAGTCCATGTTGCTCCTTGATATATAGCAATTGGGGCAGCACTGTTATAAGTGGGGAATCACTGCCCCAGCTGGGGCAGAGGGTTTCAATTGAGGCAGCATTGTTAGAACTTGGGCAGCACTGTTACAACTGTGGCATCACTCCCACTGCTGGGGTAGCACTGTTACAACTGGGGCATAACTCCCACAACTAGGGCAACACTCCCACAACTTGGGCAGCACTCCCACAACTGGGGCATCACTCCCACAACTGGGGCATCACTCCCACAACTGGGGCATCACTTCCACAACTGAGGCAGCACTGTTACAATCTTAGTGTGTGCATGTTCTTACCTCCTTGTCTTTTGCTGCCAGTTCTATCTCCAGACTTGACCTCTTCAGAATGTCCATGGTGTGATCAGAGGCTGAGTTATACAGCTCACTGCGCAGGCTGATGCCCTCTGAGACCAGGGTCAGCTGGTGCTTTAAACGTTCAGCCTGCCTTTCAGCATTGGCAGCTCTCTGGGAACATACAGGTGTAAACTACATACAGGTGTAAACTACATACAGGTGTAAACTACTTACAGGTGTAAACTACATACAGGTGTAAACTACATACAGGTGTAAACTAAACTACATACAGGTGTAAACTACATACAGGTGTAAACTAAACTACATACAGGTGTAAACTACATACAGGTGTAAACTACATACAGGTGTAAACTACATGCAGGTGTAAACTACATGCAGGTGTAAACTACATGCAGGTGTAAACTACATGCAGGTGTAAACTACATGCAGGTGTAAACTACATGCAGGTGTAAACTACATACAGGTGTAAACTATATTCAGGTGTAAACAACATACAGGTGTAAACTACATACAGGTGTAAACTACCTACAGGTGTAAACTACCTACAGGTGTAAACTACCTACAGGTGTAAACTACATACAGGTGTAAACTACATACAGGTGTAAACTAAACACAGGTGTAAACTACATACAGGTGTAAACTACATACAGGTGTAAAATATAATAAAGGTAGGCAGGTAGTCTCATGCCTCACAAAATTATTGAAAGGAAACAAACAGACCTGAGTTAGCCAGTTATATGGCCAATGAAGGGATACAGAGACAGCAAACATCTGTGTTAGGTAGTGAGAGAAGCAAGGAGATATACAGAGACAGCAAACATCTGTGTTAGGTAGTGAGAGAGGCATGGAGGAATACAGAGACAGCAAACATCTGTGTTAGGTAGTGAGAGAAGCAAGGAGGTATACAGAGACAGCAAACATCTGTGTTAGGTAGTGAGAGAGGCATGGAGGAACACATAGACAGCAAACATCTGTGTTAGGTAGTGAGAGAGGCATGGATTAACACATAGACAGCAAACATCTGTGTTAGGTAGTGAGAGAAGCAAGGAGGTATACAGAGACAACAAATATCTGAATTAGGCAGTGAGAGAAGCAAGGAGGTATACAGAAAGAAATAATAACATTACAGTCAAGCAGTGGGAAAGGCAAGGAGAAACATCGAAACAATCTAACAAACATGTCAACATCTGTGTTGGTCAATGGGAGAGAGGCACTTAGGAAGAAAACTTTAGATAGATGGTAAGAGAACCATGACAACCATGTCAAATATTCAGTTAGACAGAGCTACTAAGGGAACACATACACAACAACTAGAGTTACTGAGAGAACACAGACACAAAAACTAGAGCTACTGAGGGAACACATACACAACAACTATGGTTACTGAGGGAACACAGACACAACAACTAGAGTTACTGAGAGAACACAGACACAAAAACTAGAGCTACTGAGGGAACACAGACACAACAACTAGAGCTACTGAGGGAACACAGACACAACAACTAGAGCTACTGAGGGAACACAGACACAACAACTAGAGTTACTGAGGGAACACAGACACAAAAACTAGAGCTACTGAGGGAACACATACACAACAACTATGGTTACTGAGGGAACACAGACACAACAACTAGAGCTACTGAGAGAACACAGACACAACAACTAGAGCTACTGAGGGAACACAGACACAACAACTAGAGCTACTGAGGGAACACATACACAACAACAATGGTTACTGAGGGAACACAGACACAACAACTAGAGCTACTGAGGGAACACAGACACAACAACTAGAGCTACTGAGGGAACACAGACACAACAACTAGAGCTACTGAGAGAACACAGACACAACAACTAGAGCTACTGAGGGAACACAGACACAACAACTATGGTTACTGAGGGAACACAGACACAGCAACTAGAGCTACTGAGGGAACACAGACACAGCAACTAGAGCTACTGAGAGAACATAGACACAACAACTAGAGCTACTTAGGGAACACAGACACAGCAACTAGAGCTACTGAGAGAACACAGACACAACAACTAGAGCTACTGAGGGAACACAGACACAACAACTAGAGCTACTGAGGGAACACAGACACAACAACTATGGTTACTGAGGGAACACAGACACAACAACTAGAGCTATTGATGGAACACAGACACAACAACTAGAGCTACTGAGGGAACACAGACACAGCAACTAGAGCTACTGAGGGAACACAGACACAGCAACTAGAGCTACTGAGAGAACACAGACACAACAACTAGAGCTACTGAGGGAACACAGACACAACAACTAGAGCTACTGAGGGAACACAGACACAACAACTAGAGCTACTGAGGGAACACAGACACAACAACTAGAGCTACTGAGGGAACACAGACACAACAACTAGAGCTACTGAGGGAATACAGACACAACAACTAGAGCTACTGAGGGAACATAGACACAACAACTAGAGCTACTGAGGGAACAGAGACACAACAACTAGAGCTACTGAGGGAACAGAGACACAACAACTAGAGCTACTGAGAGAACACAGACACAACAACTAGAGCTACTGAGAGAACATAGACACAACAACTAGAGCTACTGAGAGAACACAGACACAACAACTAGAGCTACTGAGGGAACACAGACACAACAACTAGAGCTATTGAGAGAACACAGACACAACAACTAGAGATACTGAGAGAACATAGACACAACAACTAGAGCTACTGAGGGAACACAGACACAACAACTAGAGCTACTGAGAGAACACAGACACAACAACTAGAGCTACTGAGGGAACACAGACACAACAACTAGAGCTACTGAGGGAATACAGACACAACAACTAGAGCTACTGAGGGAACATAGACACAACAACTAGAGCTACTGAGGGAACAGAGACACAACAACTAGAGCTACTGAGAGAACACAGACACAACAACTAGAGCTACTGAGAG